TAAATCACCAAGGGAAGTGGAAAATATAGTCTTTTCATCTACTCTTATAATATCTTCTGACAGAATTTAGATAATTACTTATGACCCTGAGACGCGCCGGACTTCAGTTCCGGTGGTTGAATGGTTGTATCTACTATAGAGCAGGGCTTACAGGAGTTGCAGCAGTTTCGGGAAGTTGTGGCGGGCTGATCTCATTTAAATTAAAGGCCATCATAGAAACTTTAATTGTTTGTTTTACGATTTCACCAATCCAACTACTGGACCACCAAAATGGTCTTCATTATACTATACTTACTGTTACCATTATACAAGGTGATGCCCTGTGTATGTGTATAGAGAATATAGTTTCATTACAGATTCAATTACTGGCAGACGCCGTATTAATACTGTCGGGGTGATACAATAAACACTTAGTCTTCAAGTTATCTAGGTCATTTGAGAGGTGGCTATAGAATAAAGTAATTAGTTTCTAGACCACATCATGCTTTATACTAAAATTAATATTCATAGAACTAACTCCAGTTGCTCTAAAAGCCATTTTACGGGAATTTTAATATAGGCAAAACAAAAAAAACTAACTTCAAAAAGCCAAAATCGAATAACAATAAAAACTAAAAAGCAAAAAAATAACTTTTATTGGTTGGTTATTAAGTTTCCCTAGGATCCCACCATCAGATCCTGACCTCATAGAAATAGGACCATCTCGGGAGTGTACCCTTTCAAAACAAACAAGAATTTTGGAAATTGGTTCACAAATTTCAAAAAGAAAAAAATAACTATCATTAGTACTGATATGTTACCCACCCACTGTGGTTAGAAGTCGGTGCCATTTTTTTAAGGGGGGAAAATCATCGAATGACTGCCCCCACCTGGGTGAGGCGGGAGGGAGTGTCAGACTCTTACTGACTAAAAACCACCCCGTTCCTTCTCCTGCACGTCGAGCCGGAGCCCCGGTTACCCGTTAGGTTCTGGTGGCTGATGGCTCTATGAGGCGCGAGCGGAAGTCGGTGCCATAAGCTCATATCATAATGATATAACTTAATGGCCACAAAATTGTAAGTTAGGCATCTATTAAGGTTTTAATGAAGAATTGTCTAAAGAATTTAATATATAATATATAATTTTCAATTTAATATATAATTTTGCAATGATGCTATGTAAATAGTTTCAATTGATTACTCAAATAAATTCTAAGTAAAATAATAGTTCCATATGATAACTTTTATTATTTAAATCTAATCTATAATCTCATTATAATAATAGTTACTCGTGTAAATTCAAGGCTACCGGATTGAAACTTAGACAGAATAATTAGTAGATGTGTAAACATATTGTTGTAGATATATATTGTGTTTAGTTCTTACTTAGATAAGTTAATCAGTTCAGCTAATTATTTAATCGTCATCCATACATACACATACTGTTACAATATCTGGATAGTCGCAGATAAATAAGAACGTAATTTATATGAACTACTTAAATATCTGTCACGTAACCTTATCGGGTACATAAATAAAAATCGGCTCTAAGTCAAATAAATAAATTGTAGACAAGTGGAAGATACACGATATTCTAAGCATACAGAATCGATGTAGATTGTAAATTAAGTCCGTTTTTTTAAAGGGAAAATCATCGAGTGACTTCTCCCGCCTAAGTGAGGCGGGAGGACGTGTCAGACTCTTGCTGACTAAAAACCACCCCGTTCCAACTCCTGCCCTTTAAGCCGGAGCCCCGGCAACCCGCGGCTCCACCACCTACAGACCACTATATACACATTGTTATGACGGAAACAATTGACTGGAAGATATGAATCGACGTGACTGCAGTCAAGCGTAGAGATAAAGTAATAATGTGCGATAATAATGCACTTACTTTAATACACCAATTATCCACACTTATATACACTTACGTAGGTATTGCTTATCTCTTTATAGATTTGTTACCATCATTCCATAAAGCTGATTTTTCCAACGGCAGATAACCGTAATAAAAAAATCTTTTTGAAAATTGTCAGACGTCAATTTTATTAATCGTCCCTTATTGTATACACCTCAAAATTGTGTTGTGAACAAAGAAAGAGGTTTTCCTGTTTGACCTCCTGTATATATGTACGTTTGTGCCCGCTTATCTAGTTTTTGAACTGTTCTGAACCAATTTTTATGCGGTTTTCATAAAAGTGTTTGTTATACTTAGAAGAAGGTTTTAGTTTATTAATTAAGCATAACATCACGCCTTTTATCCCCGAAGGGGTAGGCAGAGGTGCACATTATGCCACTGTACAATGTAACACCCACTTTTCACTATTTATGTTATGAGTCTCATGTAATAGGGAGTGAGCCTATTGCCATATACCGGGCACATTTCCACTCCGTGCTACTACTGAGATTTTTTAAAAACCCAATAATACTTTGCCCGACCCGGGAATGGAACCCGAGACCCCTTGCCCGGTAGTCGCACTTGCGACCACTCGGCCAACGATTAAGCGACTTCAAAAAAGAGATGCTTGAAGTCGATATTTTTAAAAGTAGTTCATAAAAGACTTATGAATAATGTGTTCTAATTCACATTTAGATAAAATGCTTTCGTTAGTGTTAGTAATTCGCTACGAAACGAAAGTATAAGATGAAAACGTGAAATATTGAAATGACAAAGTCCTTGTTCTAGCAATTTCGACTGGTAATTCATATTATTTTAGTGCCTACAGACGTAGTCATATTGAGATTGCAGATTTGATAAAAATTTACGTAGGTATATCGCTGATAAAAGATTTTGTTAAGTCATTATTGTAATTGTAAGCTTACATTAACAAATGGCCTCAATCATACTAAAGAATTTATTTAGATATCAACAATGCATCAATGCCATTTGATCTTAATTAAGATTAAAATTAAATCAATCTGTATTTTTATGCCATGGTAATTGATTGATTATTTCTTTTCTTGTAAACTTTCCTTATAGAAGGCGAATTTAAATAAAAATGAAATGATCAGATATTTTGCAAACATAAAGATTTCACAATTTACATTTTTATGTACAAAAATATCATACTACTAGCGCCATCTTTCTTTGTGAAATAGAATTAGCATCTTTAAGAAATAACATATTATAAATAAAAATTAAATAGAAAAGTAAACGTTACATATAAGTTTACAGTCATATCAATAGATGGTACTAGTAGTATGATATCTTTATACATAAATAAAAATATAATGTACAGTCGAAATTAAAAAATAATTATTAACAATTCTTCTATATTAAGCTACGTTTTAAAAAACCGACTTCAATCTTCTCAGTTTTGAAGTCTTTTAATTAAAATAATTAATTATAGACTAAAATGATTTCCTAAGTGTAACTAACACTTTTCTGAAAACCGCATCAAAATTCGTTTAGCCAATCGCGAGATATTCGCTCACGAGCATACATTTAGGTTAAAATGAGAACCTCCTTCTTTTTTCAAAGTTGATTAATAAAGTTAGAAATTTCCAGTCAGCTAAATTTCCAGTCAGCTAAATCAGCTCTGGGGTAATAAGATTGTCATATTTATTAGTCAAAGGGACTTAGAATGGTGAAATATAGAACAAGCACGCAACGTGTTTCTGGTACCGACTGACGCAGATTCCTTCTGAACATTTGCAGATCACATAAGTATTCAGTTGTATAAGTTACAAAAGCTTAGTAACCACTTTTTAATTTCAGAGGAACGCTATTTTTATCGACGAGTCGAACGCGTGTAACAACTCAATAATGAAGAGGATTTTTTCTTTCAGCGACTTTCTAGTGTAGCTCTTGGCAGCAACAGTAGTTGAACGGCTGCTCATAAGTATAAGGAGAGTACTATCACCTATCAAATGTTCAGTTGCTTATAAATGACTTTTAAAAATATCCTCCTATTAAGACAGCTTGAAATTCACGAAATGCAAAGGTGCAGATATTTAAAGCATCTTCTCTTCACAGTTATGAATCCTGCATGTATCATTGTTTTAGTTGCGAGTTAAAAAATGTGACCAACGGTTCCACAGAGTAGTAGAAAGCTGTCTTTGCCAACTTTAATCCATTTAGGTAGCCCCGGACCCTTAGACAAACTACGGACCATGAGAAAATAATTACATTTTATTTTTAACTTCAAAAGTAATTAAAATGCCTATTATATAACTGAAATGTATATTAAAATGCCTCCTTTGGCATTTTAATATACATTTCAGTTATCAATTATGTGATCAACGAACTAATTTTTTGATTTCAAAAAGAAAAAAAGAGATCCTGTATGTATGTACATACAGGATCTCTTTTTTATATGGGTGCGATTTTCTCATGATTCACAGAACTGATTTTGAAGTGGTTTTCAGAGAAATGTTTGTTATAGGTATGTACTTGGGAAAAGGTTTTAGACTAAATTATTTAACCGACTTCAAACAAAAAGCGGATTGACGTCGGTTTTTTTAAACGTAGTTTATAAAAGAATTATACATTATCCATTACCACGGTACACAACCCCAAAAACTGTTGCAATAAAATAGTCTAACATTGAAAACTCGTCATCAATTCGACAATATTAATCTTTGGTATTTCCATAATTCATGTAAAATCTTATCAGACGGTCGATATGTGTTAAAATGTTATCGATAAAAGAAATAACTGTATAATGTATATAGTAGATATGAACTTAATATCGATAACCAATCTTTACGTACGTGTGTGCTTAATTTTTACAAACAAATCATTGAATATTTTTCTCTAAATGTAGCTATTTTAATTTTATTTTTATTAAAAATTATAATTTTCATAGAATTTCATAATTTATTTATTTGTAAAATTAATTAATAAAAATTAAATTTTAATAAAACAATAATAAATCGACATGCGAGGTCATATAAAATTGATAGTCACTGATAAAGTTATCTTCGGATATTTTATACCCGTATTGTGTTTGGAATTTTCATTCACAGTTTGAAGCTGAAAGCAGTAGGTTTAATTTAATTGCCTATAACAAATTGTGAATCATGGATACCGAAAGTGGAACTCCAACCCAGCAAAGAGCAGGACGAATGGATTCGAAAACTTATTATTTTACGACTTTTAATAGTTCTTTGAATATTATATGCCATACTTTAATAGGTATAGTGGTGGGTGTCATCGTGACCTATGGGTTAACTTTACCAAGTGGAAAAACAAAGGACCACATCATATTATGTGTTCTTGGGGTAAGTATTAGTTTTTACAGACAATTAATGTTTTTCTTAAAAAATCTTAAGTTTTCAATGTGTCCAGCAAGATAAATAATAAATGTATCCATTTTTATTGTAATTTTATTTTATTTTAAAGGCTTCATGCATATACTAATGTACAAGGTGGGCTTAATACTGTGGGCATTATCTTCCAGCCAGATCTTAGAGCGAAGCAAAGACATAAATATTTTCACGATAATTAAAATAAAAAATGACGGACATAAAATTAATTACACTACAAATTAAGTGTTATATTGCAAAATTTATATAATTATGTTTTTTATTCCAGTACCAATTGTTGATGGCTCAAGCCATTTTAAGTCTGTCCCCCCACAATGGTTGGTCAGTCCACCTTAAGCTGGTGGACAAGAAGCGTGCCCACTGGATCTTACAAACCGTGGGATCTGTACTGGCTATCGTAGGCAGTTTCCTTAAAATCGTTGACAAGAACGTCCATTGGAATACAAATCACGGAATTTTTGGTAAGTTAGATTAAATTTAATACTATTAATAACGATCAAAATTTTGTATAGTAAGTACCTATTCCTCATATAAAGTCGCGGAGAACCTAACGGGTAACCGGGGCTACGGCTCGACGTGCAGGAGAAGGAACGGGGTGGTTTTTAGTCAGTAAGAGTCTGACACTCCCTTCCGCCTCACCCAGGCGGGAGCAGTCATTCGATGACTTTCCCCCCTTAAAAAAAAATCCTCATATAAATATTATTATAATATTCATGTCTCATGGTGATGACATATAAATATATGAAAAGAGATGTCTTTTTCTTATATTTTGAGGCTTTGAAAAATTCAACTAATATTAATGTTAAGGTTAAGCATTGCCATTTAACGTGGCAATGCTGCCAGTCTTTTGGGCACCCTACCTCACGATAACGATGAGTAAAATTTTTTTTGATGCCTTGTGATACCTTTATTGTTATTATTAATTTTTTTAAGGTGTCAATATTTTAGTTTATAGTTATTTATATTTTAAGTTGTATATATTTTCATTTAGTATTAGTTAATTTTTTTTATGTATATAATAAAGTTAAGTTAGAAATTTAAAAAATATATTAAATAGTATGATTTATGTAGGCCACTATTTTCTATACGTTTAAATAATTAATATAATGTTGTTCATTTGGTTAAAAAAAACATTCGCAACCAAGGACGTAGACAAACGTAGACATAAAGGTAGAAATGATTAAAAACGTCTATTGTTTTTTATGTGTGCATGTGTTATGGGTTTCCAGACTTCAGATGTCCTTCGTGTGAATGTGTATATGTTCTGCGTGTGTCTCTATAGTAGCCAGATGCCACAGTCGTTGTTTCTAGAGACTATCTGACTGTTTTTCAATGTCTTTTTTCGCAACACTAGTGTTAACGTTAAACAAATAAAACTGAATGTAAAACGAGTGTATTTCAGAAATTGTTGTTGAAAACACATACTTGATAATATTCACATTTTAAAATACTGAATTCAAAAAGTTGATATCCTGTAATAAATAATATGTGTAACATTTTTAAAATAAGTATTTAGGCTCACCCCCTATTACATGGGACTCATAACATAAATAGTGAAAAGTGGGTGTTACATTGTACAGTGGTATAATGTGCACCTCTGCCTACCCCTTCGGGGATAAAAGGCGTGATGTTATGTTATGGTTTTTTTTATAAAATATGTATCATTTTAAATAAAGACTAACCTCCAAATAAACATCATGATAAAACTATTGAATTAAATAAAAAAAAAGAAACAAGTTGGTACACCCAGTACTCTCATTGATAACAGTGTATGTTATCAATTTAGGAGTGAATTTTTATCCACTCGACAACTTTATCTTATTACAACTGTAAAAAAGACATAAGTATATCATTGGCCTTGGAAACACCTATACAAAACCATACTCGATAGAAAACAACAATAAACTACATTATGTTGACAAGATTAAGCCAAAGAATAAAAGTTATACTATAATTATAACAAGTTTAATAACTTTATAATCTCCTAGTATTTATGTTGATAATAATTGATTGAATAATGTACGAAAATATTAATTTAATATAACAATTTCCCTATAAAACTTTGTCTCAATAAGATTGAATTTTGGAGTTTCCAAATGTGGCAGTTAATTTCTAGTAAAAGAAGCTATGTACTTAAACAAAATATGAATAATTACTATTTCTCTATTAAATAATAATAATAAATAAAATAAAATTTTTATTCATAAGAACACTGGTCAACATAGGTACAAACATATCTTAATTAAGCGACAAGATCTTAAAAATAATATGCCTATACTAGGAATATTCCTGTGTCACAGGCGACAGGAGCTCTAGAAATATGTTACTGATAAGACAACTTATTTATAGTCTAGGTAAAATATTTAACACAATTTTCAGAAGTAAGGTAGGATTGTTTAATATACTACATTACATACATATAATAACATCACGCTTTTTATTCCCTGAAGGAGAATAAAAAGTTGAACTTACATAATACAATAATATAAAAATAAATAAAATATCGTATAAGCTATATTCATATATAAACTAGATAATATTACATGTTACAAGGCTATCAATTATTTTAGATCGTCTGCAGAAACACAAAAAACTAGGTCAGAGTCCATACGGTCACTCACTTGTTACAGTTAGATCAAATGTGCTTGGACAGCAATAAATTGCTGAGTAAGCCAACCTGTTAATGTGCAATTGTTATACAAGTGAACCAAACTAAACGAAATGAATAATCGAATTGGAAATCCGACTTCGAGCATTTTCTCTTTATGCGCCTTCATAATCGATGGAATTTATATATCTGTGTTCGGCTATCTTCCTGGCTGGGCACTCTGCGTCTCCTGTCTTGTGACTGTTGGGCTTGTTAAAGCGAGAGCATGTGGTACATTTTGGAAAGTCGATTTTCTTCGTGCACACGGATGTCATGTGTCCTGTTTCTCCACAATGGCCACACACTGAGTGGAGCTCCCGGCATGTCTTTGCCGCGTGGCCATACTGCTGACATTTATAGCAACATTTATAGCAAAAATGTAATCAATTTAGTGAATTGTGCTGCTCTAAATTCAATCTTATTGTTATGTACCCATGGTACTATCGCCGTTGTCGGACTCGTTATTGTACACCACAAGCCTTAGGTCATATATAATCTTGAAAACTGTTACTGTGACATGGTATGACATGGTATTCAATCATCAGTTAATTATTAACTGTAGAAGAAAATTGACATTTGATACTTTTAGAAGCATTTTAATAGGAAGGAAGGAATTATGGAAGTATTATTAAATATTCTAAGTTATTCCTAAGTTAAAATTTATCTGGCGTTGGAAAAATCGGTCTTTAAAGAATTAATAAAAAATTAATATGTAACCAAAATAATACCAACATTTTTATCTTTTTTGCAGCATTGATAGCCCTGGTCTTCACAGTGATAAGTCTCGTCAACGGACTGACGTCGCTCTATGCTTACGAATTCCGACGATTTCTGCCATCAACCCTTTCGAAGCTGACTCATATTTGTGCCGGCACAATAGCCTTTGTGGCTTCATGCATCAGCCTCTGTTACGGCATCGACAAGGGTATGTTCACAAACTGGGTCGGCAGCACCATAGCCAACGTCCTCATCGGATTCAGCTCTTTCTTCACCTTCCTCATCATTACCGCTCCTTTGATTACCTTCTTTAACAAACTAAAGAATACATAATTTTTAACTAAGGTGTTATCTGTAAATATATTTGTGATCTTTTAAAGTGAGTCGATTGTGACAGGTTTATTATTTTTTGTAAATAGTAACACTATACTAAGACTGCATTTATACTTTCAAAATAATACAGTTCCTCTTTCGCTAGATTAACACTGATAATATCGAATTATAATTACCTAAATGATGATAAGATCGAAAATAATTGTTATTGTAATACAATCAAATGAAAAGTGATAAAGTTTTTAATGTATACTCAGGAGATTCATTTATTTTTTGTACAAAAATAAGATTCTCTTAGTTTTAAGGCATTGTTTTATAATTATGTTAAATGTACGTACAAGAAATATTATCAGTTTTTTTTATTTTATCAACATGTTTGAAAGCTACCATGAAAGAAGGGATAGTTATATACTTGTTAATGTACGAGAGTACCTATAAGTAAGTATGGGGACACGCCATAAAAACTAAAAGCAATATCGTTAAAATTGAAAGTAGGTAGGTAAGCGATCAGGATAGATAAGCAGTCGGTGCGCTGCCACCTATCTTTATGGCATCTAAACATATAAAGGAAACTCGGGGAAGAGTAATGGCTCTCGATACGCACATTCTGGAATAGAGTATTGTTGCCATTGCTAATGTTTGAGATGTACGACCATATCTTTTGATAAATGCGACACTAGTACCAGTAGTGTGCGGACCTTTGACCGGGGAGCCCACTGCGACATTATTCGTATTCTATCGGTGGACTCTAGATCCACAAACGGTAGGATATGACGTTTGTAGATATATTATCAAACGACTTAGATGACTACAACTAGATAAACGACTGTAAAGTTATTTATAGGTTGCCTTAGACAGGGTTCTTACCAAAGTAATGTAAGTCACCTAAGTAGAATGAGATTACAGGTACCTAAGTCATATTTCGAATTATGGTTAACAAGAAGTCTGCATTATTTAAATGAAGTCAAATATGTAAGAGTATGGAGTAAGCAAAAGTGGAGATACCAAATAAATAGTAGATATAAACACGTAAAATAAAGTAATGCAAATAAAAAATAATTCCCTACACGTTTAATTTAATTTTAGTAAGTCATATCCAATGTATTAACAGTTCCTTAATACTTAAGGCTTTATTCAAAGAGAATAATGAAACTATTTTGCAAAACAGAAACGAGTTTTCTATTGTATGTGAGTATTCGCTCTTAGCCGATACTGAAGCGATTATAAATTATTATTCGTAAAAGCATTAATTGTCGATCATTCTGTAGACATAATACTCGGGCATTGCAAATAAAAAATGCCAATTGATAACTTGTCAATACGATAATATATACCTAAGATTGATTTATAAGGCCAAATATCGCCAAGCCTATCATATCATGACACAAATATTTTATTTTCATATCAATTATATTATATCAAATCAGCTTATACCCCGATACTGCTCACAAAAACTGCATAGGAATGATATTTCAGAAAAGGGTTTACAAATATTTTTTGGTGTTCATCCACTACCTTTCTCTCTAAAAGGGTATGCTTGGGTACCTAGCTGTGTATGAAGCAGATTTGACCCTTAAATAAATCAATCAGTTAAAAATACGATTTGGTATCATTTTATTTAATCATCATAATGTTTGTAGGTATAGTTGTATAGAGGATATCATGCCTGGAAGCAACTTAGTTCCGCAACCATATAGTTCCTAGACAGCAGAATCTTATTGAAGCTCATACGAAAAGTTACCTGTAAGAATTCTATGCACCAGTGACGTCACACCGCACCTATATTGTTTCTTATACTGCGATAACCGATAAACAGTAATCGTGCTGAGATATCACACTTAATCAAGAAACAATTAATCATAAAATTTGACAACACTAATGACCAATTTCAAAGATAAAATCATGTTATCTGCTACCTAATAATATCTTTATTTATATTATTAAAACTATGTATTATAATAATGTATTGTTGTTATAATACATTATTGAATTTATAGTCTAAGCCCTGTTCGTTAATTTTATTATAGAAAGGCAATTGAGTGAAATGAAAATAAAAAACTGTGTTAGAACCAAGTGGCGGCACTCTCCGTGAATCCCATAAAACGAAGATTTTAGGTATTTCTTGGTTTCAAAATCTAGCCAGAAACTACTACTAAACTAACAGATAGCTACATTTATTTGGGTATACTCTTAGATTAGGAAGCTTTTTCGTACTATAAATTCATAGGTACCTAATAAAACTAAAAATACGTTTTTGATCATTACGATTTAATCTATTACCCATGTTACCGGGAAATAGGTATCAAATGAACCCAAACTCAATATGTTTATTAATAGGCAACCCAACACCAGCCACCTTACAACACCAGATCTAGCTCCATGGTACCGTAATATTGAAGGAATGGTCATCTAATCTATAATTTGATATCTAGCAGTTTCATCATGTACATGTCGTTCAGATTGTTTATTGACTTTTACAGACAAATGACAGATTACTTCTTAATAGAAAAAGTCCTATCGTAAGAGTTTTTTTTTGTTTTTATTAATGCTCCACATTAGGATTTTCTCCTGTGACGTGTTTGCATTTAAAAACATACAAGTTCAAATACACATGACACTCAGACCCGGAACAACAACCTGTGGATTACACAAAGAGTTATTCCGTGCGAGAATCGAACCCGCGACACGTTGTGCGGCAGCCAGCCACCGCGCCAACCGCCAATTCAATATCACTTATTTCTAAAATTATAATAACTAGATGACGCAGAGATCTTCATCAAAACTTAAAGAACATTAGGAATAAATAGCATTTATTATAAAAGCAATAATATACATTACGAAAATAACCGTTACAAAAATTTAAGCTTAGCCTTTGTTTACAACTTTTGTTATCGTAGTTATTACTATAAGTGACGAATAAAATGTGATAAAAAGGTTCAACATGTAGACTACATCTTGTCCTGTCCATCGTTTCAAGTCTTGTTTCAATAGTCCCGTGAATAGGCAGATCATAGAACTGCAGAAGCAAAGAATTCCACACGACATGTGCACAAAATGACCTTTTCTGACCACCAGCTTTAGAGCGAATGGTCCAGTTAACGAACTCAACAAAGTCAACAGCAATGTTAGCAGCCCTAAAAATTAATAAATTTTAAACAAAACATGATAAGCTGAATAAATTTAAGTCCATATGGTACACAATAACACACCACGTCTTTTATTCTACGAGAGTGATAACCCCAGAATATGCACATAATAAAAATCAGATCAATGAGATCCAAGGAGACCTTACTCATTATCTCACATTAATATTATAAATGTGAAAGTTAAAATAGTGAAAAGTGGGTGTTGCATTGTACAGTGGCATAATGTACACCTCTGCCTACCCCTTCGGGGCTAAAAGACGTGATGTTATGTTATGTTATGAAAGTTTCTTTGTTTGGATGTTTGTCCGTCAATCACGCTGAAACTACTGAATAGATTATAATGAAATTTGGTATACGGCAACCACCTATGGGCTGATTAATGTGATAGGATTTTTATCTCTTTTAAATGCTCCCATGGGATAAAACAGGTACGCTAGCAAAACCGTGAGTAAAAGCTAATGAAACATATTATATATTAGATTAGTATGAGTGTGTATAGTATAGTTGTTAATTAATTAATCCCTAAAGCATACAGCTGGTAGCAAAGATTTAGCCGTCGGTCTATGCTAGCAGGTATGTAAATGCTCACTATACACGCTAATACTAACCAATATGTACCTATGTTTTGTCCATGAGAAAACAAGTTAGCTCTAGAGTCTTAATATTATTGATCACAATCATTTTGGATGTGGATTGGTTACCTAATACTGAATGTGCTGTGCGCTGAAATTGCAATTTCCTTGCCACTATGATCATTCCACTTACTGCTGTAATAATTGTACATAACTGAAGAAATATATGTACATATTTTCGATGCATAGACCTAATAGGTGTGGCCCATCCATTTACAAAACTCAAGCTTAATATAGCTTCTGCCGCAAAGAAGTTATACTGGAAAATAATTATTAGATAAAAATTGATAATTACTCTAATGAAAATATAAATGTGATTAAGTAATACATGATTACAATTATAAGACTAGTGCTAACAGAAATGAAATTAATAGATAAAAAAGTTTCAGTTAGTACTCATGGCTCCAAAGCTAATAGTTTAGATTACTTAAACTTACTGCCATACTAAATATAACTGCGTGCAAGTCTCCTTTCTGAATAGAATACAGGTATATTACCATAAGAAGAGAACCTATCAGTACATGAGAGAAACCAATTCCAATTGCCCACCAAACGGCATTACTATATTTCTCATCTAAATTGTCAATCACAGCAGTTTGGAACGGGCCAGCAAACCTTGCTCTAGTGCCTTGTATTGTATTTCTACGACTATCATCGGGTCTTCGCATTACAACATGCGATCATATGTAATTTTTACGAATATCGGTATTGTTTTATAACTTATTATTGTTATATTAATACTACTGGCATTTTTCCTATAACAGAATGACAATGACTTTAAACGTCAAGACGTAAAATTGCTTCCGTGTGCTATCCATAGATATATTATTTATTATTGCAATGGTGCTATTAAAACAATAGTTCTGTAAAAAAAGGTTGATAGCCTTTTACGTTTTCTGTCCAATTCTTTTTCTTAAATCGGAAAGAAGCTGCTTACGCTCAGCGCTAGATTCCCGAGCACCTGCCATGTTCTCCAGCTTGGTTAGCAAGCCTCTGTGAAAACTCGGTGCTAGATTACCCAGCTCGTACTTGCGAAATATTTTCTCTATTCCTCGAATGGCGCAAAACATTTTTAAGAAAAGACTCTTCCGTGCGGCGTCCTCGAGCTGCTCTTCCCTGACGGGAAATTCGTGATTCCCTTTTAGTTATAATAAACATAAATATTTTGCATGTGGTGTGTTAACCTATAATTATTTTTTGCACTTTTAAATGTTTCTCTAGCTATTTAATCAGTAATGTATCTGGGGGCACGGCAGTGCCCCACCAAGTCGAGCAAAAAAGCGTCACGGCCGTACCATCCTTTTCTCGAAGCAATTCAGGCCATTTTCGACCCCCTGTAATTTCGTTGTGGATAAAACTAGAAGACTGAAATTTCAGTAGGGCATTGTAGAGACACGGAATATTTTAAATTTCATTCATTTGAACCAGTATTTTAAGAATTATAACTGGTGACACTCACTGACTGACTCACCGATCATCAAAATTCTGACCGATCAGCAGACCAAGAAGCTTCAAATTTGGAATATAAGTAGCGTTTGGTGTATGAATCAAGGAAAAAATAAAAAAAATTAGAGAAGACCGGTATTGAGGGCGCTTTCGCAGCGCCACGTATATATATATATACGAAAAATATATACTAAAGACTTGGCCATCGTACTTACACGTGTTTTCAGGCGATGACCAAGTCTCAATATCTTTATATATATAATTCTTCTGTGAGTGTGTATGTCACTGAACTTCTCTCAAACGACTGGACCAATTTTGATTAAATTTTTTGTGTGTGTTCAAGGGGATCTGGGAATGGTTTAGATTCACAAATCAGCCCGGCAGATGGTGCTGCAGTCGATGTTTAGGTTATTTATCCTAAACAGCTGAACTAATTTGAATGAATTTTTGTTTATATATTCAAGTGGATATGCAGGACAACGTCTGTTGGGTCCGCCAGTGCTTATATAGAACATTAATGAATTTTAATATTGATATGCGTTTCTATAAGATGTTGTTAATTATTACGTAACAACTTAATGCTTCGAGTACGGAGATTCCAGACACAATTGATTTTCAATTGTTATGGACCACGATCGTGGTCTTAGAGACTGGACGTATTAAGACAAAGTCGTGAGGCTGAATAAATTAATAACCGACTTGGTATTACATGGATCTCACAACTTTTTACCACAGAATAACTGAGTTGCGAGACTTGTTTTTTTTGACAAGTATTGTTTTTGATGGGATATATTAGTATATAGTTAATTGTTGGTTAACCAAAATAAATAAATAAACAATCGCTGAAACTGTTCGATATCTCAAAAACAGGTTATATTTCTGTTTTTGTGATATCGAACAGTTAACAGGCCCGCCGCTAGATAGTCGAGCGCCCGCGTGCAAATACCGATTATGCCGCCCCACTTTTTGTTGGGTGAGTAAAAAGTAATCAAATAATTCTATAGGAAGTGACTCTTACAACTCTTACTAACTAAAACCACCCCATTCCTTCCAACAGTTGCTTAAAGCCAGGGCCTCAGTACCCATATGACAACTTACCCTCCAGCAAGACAATAATCCTCGTGGGCCCCGTCTGTGGTGGTCTGATGGCACTTTGACGCTTGCATTTTACGTGACGCGCCGTACACTCGGATCTGGTACTTATCAGGTGGTGAGGTATCCTTGCTGGCGTTCGAAAACTCGCGCTTACGGTGGCCGGCAATTCCGACAAAGCGACGTCTCGCTTCCTCCCGAAAATGATACAGGACACTCGATAGATTTCGAGTAACTTTAGAAAGTGATCGAGGGTGCTCGATGGTTTTCGAGGTCACTCGATGGTTTTCAAATAACTTTCGAAAAAGATAGAGGATACTCGATAGTTTTGGAGTCTCGACAGTGTTTGAGGACGCTCCATCGCCTTAGAGAACACATACATACATACATAACTTCACGCCTGTCTCCCATGGGGGTAGTCAGAGACTAAGGAACGCCAATTACTACGATTCTTACATACCTCTTTCGCTTCATTAACAGTCATCAATCTTTTCATGCATGCTCGTCGGTTAAGGGTACTTTTAATTTGGCCCTTCTTTAATATATCGCCAATCTGGTCACTATATGTCCGTCTAGGGCGCCCTCTACGGACGGCTCCATTCATATCCGCTCTGTATACTTCTTTCGTTACTCTACTTTCATCCATCCTTTCTACATGTCCAAACCAGCGTAACATTCCCTTTTCAATCCTTGTCACTACATCGTCTTTCAATCCACGCCTCTCTCTAATAACACTATTTTTCCCTCGATCACTCAATTTTAGTCCAGACATACTTCTCAGGGCTCTCATTTCCACTGCATTAATCCTGCTTTCATGCTTCTTCTGCCACACCCATGGTTCACTACCATACATAAGCGTTGGTGTCAATACACACTGCATTACAGCAAGTCGAGCTTTGCTGGATATTATTTTACTAGACATTACAGAGTGTAAAGCACCATTAACACTATTTCCCGCTTTCAATATCCCTGTCACACTTTCCATCTCTCGTAAATAGTGATCCCAGATACACAAATTCATTCACTTGTTCTAATTTTTCATCACCTATCATTACCTGACATTCTGTTATCACCTCATTTCTTTCTATCACCAACACTTTCGTCTTGTTCACATTTACTTTCATACCTTTCCTTTCAAATGCATCATTCATAGCAGTGATCATTTGTTGTAATTCTTGGGCCGACGAGGCAACAAGCACCTGGTCGTCGGCATACAACAATGTTTTAATCACTGTGTCATTCATCCTTAATCCAAACTCTCCTACTTTCAGGTCGTTCAAACAAATGTCCATAAATAGGTTGAACAGCCAAGGAGATGCTACACAGCCTTGCCTAACACCTCGATTAATGTGAAACCACTCCGTGTAGTCCCCATTTATTCTGACACAGGCACTCGAGTTCTTATATAAGGATTTAAGTGCCCAAATCAGGTGGCTATCCACCCCATACATGGACAGAGTTGACCACAATTCATCCCTCACCACTCTGTCATAAGCCTTTTCTAGGTCTATAAAGGCACAAAATACCTTTTGGTGCTTTGATAACACTTTCTCTGAAATGCACCGTAACGAAAAGACTTGATCCGTACACCCCATTCTCTTTCGAAATCCCGCTTCCTTCGCTTCCCGCACATCCCAGATTTTACGCTCAGTTACATCCATCACTCTTTCGATCAATACCTTGGCATACAACTTTCCTACTACGCTTAGGAGGCTTATACCAAGATAATTTTTGCACTCCTGCTGTGATCCTTTTCCTTTATACAGTGGCACAATTACGGCCTTGGCCCAGAACCAGGCCTTAGAGAACACTCGATAGTTTTCGAGTTCCTCTGGAAAATAATAGAGGAACTCGATAATGTTCTTAAGTGTAGTTAATCTTTAGTTGTTTTCTTGTATATAATATTATTATAATACTTGTATAGAATTTGGGGTGCCACTGAATAGGAGAAGGTGGTGAACAATTTTTGGGTGATTTCAAGTATGGTATTGCATCTTAGTCATTAGTTATGTATGTCTTAGTATTAGTATTAGTTTTATTATATTATATTGCATCTTAGTATTAGTTATAACGTCTAATATTGCTAGCGTCCAATGGGGTTTTTTCCCGGCGATGATATTTCCCATGATCGTGCGCCTGTGTGCTGTGCACGCTTTGAACGGCTAGTTACGGCGGGCCTGTTTTAAACACATGGTTTTAAATTACAATGACTTATGTGTTCGATTTTTATATATACTTCTAATAAATATTGGAACCTTCCCGATCACCTGAAGTTGAAGATCAAACGGGGCCTCACTTCAGGGACACCCACTATGTAAGTATTCTATAAATTAGAAAATACACTTACTGCGATTGTAAAATATGCTGAATGGCTTTCTGTTCTTCGATACGAGTACATAATAAAAGTAATGTTCACAGCACCAATTAATATATGGCTCAATCCCGCTGCCGCTGCCATCCATACTGCCAGACAGTAAGAATCCCGATGCTCACTAGCGATCATTACATTAAATAAATTTACTGTAGCAAGACGGTTCTTTGGAATCTCAACTATATCACTCTTCGTGTCGTCACCCATTGCTTCAACAAATGTAGCAAATAATAACATTCAAATTTTAAGACAAATTGTACATACTCCAAAGGTGTACAATATACTAACTTAATTGATTTCTGTTTTACTGTACAATTATTTTAAAAATGATAACCATAAATAGTGACAAATATGTATGTGTCAATCCGTATATAGATTATATTTTTGTCAGAATCAGAAATTATTTTAATAGACGACCCAAGCTCGGATAGTTGCAAGTCATATGATAGTTGGAAGTTTCATGATAAAATGTGTCCAATTAATAAAATTAAGTAGGTAATGCAGTTGTTTATAAAATTTCCTTTTCATATATTTTATTGTGTATTATTTCTTTTTTAACTCTTTCAGTCTTGGTGGTCACTGTAGCTAACCACCTTTTCTTAGAAATTCAATTTTTTAAGTATGCTTCAAATTACTTTGCTTTGGTTTTTAAGCATTTCAGTATATTTGAATAGTAGAGTTAAAAAATCAAAATTATAAATAAATAAATTGAATAGCATTCGCTCTGTAAACGAGTTCGGCGCCACCTAGCGTCCACAA